TTTGCGCCGAAACGACCCCACGAGTTTTGCTATCTCGTGAACTAAAAGTCGGATCGGAAAACTCTTGCTGGGAGGAAACTAAGTTAGAACATGTAGATATATGTAGGAAAAAACCCGAACCCGAAATCCGAACTTGGAGTGTAGTTATGGGTGCGCAAAAATTTGTGGGACGAAATGGCTGTCAGCGACAAATGTGTTTTTGGGGTGTAATTAATGGATAGAGTGGGCGATTCGGATAGGGCCATGGGGTTATATGTAATCGGCCATGGGGAATTTTTTGGTGCTGGTCGTTTTGGTGCCACACTCAAGTGTGGCACTGAAATGGCCGGATGGGTGTTTCAAAGTGTTATAGCGGTTTTTCGAAGGCCTGAGGGGTTTCGCGCCTGGGAGTGATGTTGTAGGGCTGGATGTGGGGAACATATTGGGTGTTGACCACTTGAGTCTCAGTTCGACTTTTGGGGGTGATATGTTCCAAAGAGTCGGGGTCGAAAAGTCGACTTTTTGTAGAGAGTCGTTTCACCCGTTTTCGATAGCCTAACTTATAGAGCGTCCCCCGAGGCTTCAAAAAAGGTATACTTTGTTGGGGGTCCACTTGAGTCTCAAAAAGTTATGGCCGATGTTCGCAAATGTCGCAAAACTTTTTGAGACTCTAACGTCCCGGTAAATTTTTTAAAAATTTTTCTGAGACCGGATATGGACTCAGCGGGTCTTAAAGCACCATAGAGGCCGTTTTTTGAAAAAATTTTTTCCCGACCCCATCCCCTACCCAAAAAATCCGAAATTTTGTTTTTTCGGGATTTTTTTTCGAAATTTTCGGTCAAGGTATATAAATTATATATCATTGAACTCAGAAAATTAAGGCGGTTCGAATGATATATAATTTATATAGGTCCGTAAAAATTTAAAAAAAATGTTCCATTATGTCGTTTACACTTCGACATAAAAAATTTTTGACGGAGCAGTTCAACTGAGTCCGCACGATTGAGTCCCCACGATTGAGTCCGCACGATTGAGTCCCCACGATTGAGTCCCGGCACAATTGAGTCCCGGCACGATTGAGTCCGCACGATTGAGTCCCCCTTGTATATACCTCAATTGAGTCCCCGTGGATTTAATTATATTAAAAAGGATTAAGAGGGATATCGGGGGATTTTTAGAGATTAAAGTGAACATCAGGGGACTTGTATTCGACATCGAGGGATCAAGTTGTATATCGGTGGATATGGAGGGATTTAATGCAAATTTAAACTTTTAAGGGTGATATCGGTGTATTAAGGTAGATATCAAGAATTTGGATGGATTTCTTGATTTTTTTCTTCCTCTCCCATCACTACATTATCCTCGTTACTGATGGTCTCCCTTGCAATTTAATGAAGTTCACGGCGCGAATCGACGCCCCCACTGGTTCGTCTTCGGCTAGCTCATATTTCTCGACGATGATGTCCCGCTGCGAGTCATCAATGCTATCCGGCAGATGTTCCGCGCTGAAGCTTTGCTCTTCCACATTGATGGCCGTTGTACCCGTAGTGCCCATTTGGACATGTTGAGAAGCGTATAGATTTGTAAAGAAAATTGAAGAACTAAAATTTAGAAAAAATGAAAAAAAAGATAAAAATATCCTAGGATTTGGAGGGATTAAAGCTAATAACAAGGGTGCACACCAACTGTAGGATCTCAGAACCAATTTGCCGACATTTATTTATAAAAAATTAGAAATTTCAAAAAATTTTTAAAAATTCAAAAAAATTAAAAAAACTTGTTTAATCTCAATGCTGAAGTAAGGAAACATGTATTGCAAGCTGATACTGTCAACTAACTACGCCCCACAACATTTTTGAAATAATCCCGCATGCCGGATATGGAAATTTTAACTTATTAAATCCACGGGGACTCAATTGAGGTATATACAAGGGGGACTCAATCGTGCGGACTCAATCGTGGGGACTCAATTGTGCCGGGACTCAATCGTGGGGACTCAATCGTGCGGACTCAATCGTGGGGACTCAATCGTGCGGACTCAATTGAGGTGTACCGATTTTTGAGTCTTAAAAATTTTGTTTTAAAAAAATTTTTTAAACTTAATTTTTTTGCCCAAAGACGGTGGTAAACTTCATCTAAGACTCATTTTTGGCGGTGAGGCCTTATTTTAAATTTTTTAAAAAATTTTTTTCGTTTTTAGTGCAGCAGCAGATGGAAAACGTTTACTGGGAAGGAGATGGCAAACGCGTGAAGCTGTATAAGTTAGTTTAAATTTTTTTGTTTTTTATAACATTTAATTGTTTTTTAAGAATTTGCGGACAAGTCTCGCGGAAAATATGTTTTTGTCCGCAAATAATTTTTGATTGCAAATTTTTGGGCTAAAGTACACTTTACCGGGCGATTTTAGATTTTTATGATTTATATGTCAATCGAAAGAGCTCGGCGAGCTGAGTCGAATGACACCAAAATTAGCCCGCGGACTCAACTATGGACCGAGATATGGGTCCCCAAAAATCGAAAAACCATAGGGGGGACCAAGCACTTTTTTGGGGGTAAAAAGTTCGAATATGCAAATTATACCTCATTCGAAAGAGCTCGTCGAGCTGAGTCGAATGACACCAAAATCATCGTGATTGGACAAGTTTGGACAAAGTTATGATCTTTTATTTTAGCTCCTTACCTATGGCATCTGTGGAGATTTTCGATGCTACGGAGGCCCCAAATACGTCCAGAGCAAGGAAGATAGGAATAGGTTTATGTTACGAGCCCAGACCCAGCGCCCGTAGACTCCCCGCGAGGCGCGTGCCGCAAAACCCCGCGCGAAGCGCGGGGTTTTGCACAAGCGCCTCGCCGACGCTCCATAGGTTTAGGTTTTAGTTTTTCTATCGTAACTTTGTCCAAACTTGTCCAATCACGATGATTTTGGTGTCATTCGACTCAGCTCGACGAGCTCTTTCGAATGAGGTATAATTTGCATATTCGAACTTTTTACCCCCAAAAAAGTGCTTGGTCCCCCCTATGGTTTTTCGATTTTTGGGGACCCATATCTCGGTCCATAGTTGAGTCCGCGGGCTAATTTTGGTGTCATTCGACTCAGCTCGCCGAGCTCTTTCGATTGACATATAAATCATAAAAATCTAAAATCGCCCGGTAAAGTGTACTTAGGCCAATTTTTGTCCGCAAAAAATTTTTTGTCCGCAAAAATCTTTTGTCCGCAAAAAATTTTTTGTCCATTAAACGTTTTAGTCCGCAAAAAATTTTGGTAATAGTTTGGAATTCGCCCCCCCCCCCTTTTTTCACTGTTTCCCTGACCATTTTAAGCTTTTTTTGTTTGATACTTAATTTATCATATATCATTCGAAAGAGCTTTTCAAGCTTGGTCGAATGATACCATGATTGGCTAGATCTGATCATTCTTACCAAAATTATGAAGCAAAATCCTTATTGGGAAGACTTTTTGTGACAATTCAAGGGAATAACATAAGCGGTCACAACTTTGTTCACTTAAGTCCTTTTTCGTTAATATTAATGTCATTCGACTCGGCTCGAAGAGCTCTTTCGAATGATATATAATTTGCTATAAAATGAGAAAAAACTAGGAAAAATAGAAGGGAAAATAGGGGGGGGGGGCGAATTCCAAACTATTACCAAAATTTTTTGTCTGTTAAACGTTTTAGTCCGCAAAAAATTTTTTTGTCCGCAAAAACTTTTTAGTACAAAAATTTTTTTGGCCGTAAAAATCTTTTGTCCGCAAAAACGTTTTATTCCGCAAAAATTTTTTGTCCGCAAAAATCTTTAGTCCGCAAAAAATTTTTTGTCCGTTAAACATTTTAGTCCGCAAAAAATTTTTGGCTGTAGTTTAGTCGAGGGCCCGCTCCAGACCGGGTCGAAACATATGTCATTCGATTCGTCTCGGCGAGCTGAGTCGAACGGTACCACACTCTAGGTGCGGAAATGCTTATAGACCGAGAAATAGGTTTCTGAAATTTGAAAAACCAAAGGGGGGAGTAAGCACTTTTTTGGGGCGAAAAAATCGATTTTCTGAATAATAGCTCATTCAAAAGAGTTCCTCGAGCTGAGTCGAATGACACCAATTTCACTGTGATTGGACAAGTTTGAACCGAGATATAGGGCTCGAAATGGTCCATTCGAAAGAGCTTGATGAGCTGAGTTGAATGACACCAAAATCAGCTTGATTTGATGATTCTGAACAAAATTATGAACAATTTAATTTTCGCTTGAATCCTGTTTTGGTGTTGCTACGGAGGGTAGGTCGGCATTCAAGGCTGAGAATCGGTAAAAAGGAATAGGATTAAGTTACGAGCCCAGAACCCAGCGACCGTAGACTCCCCGCGAGGCGCGTGCCGCAAAACTCCGCGCGAAGCGCGGAGTTTTGCACAAACGCCTCGCCGACGCTCCATAGGTTTAAGTTGACCATTTCGAGCCCTATATCTCGGCCCAAACTTGTCCAATCACAGTGATTTTGGTGTCATTCGACTCAGCTCGAGAGCTATTCGAATGAGCTATTATTCAGAAAATCGATTTTTTCACCCCAAAAAAGTGCTTACTCCCCCCTTTGGTTTTCCAAATTTCAGGGACATATATCTCGGTCCACAGGCATTTCCGCACCTAGAGTGTGGTACCGTTCGACTCAGCTCGCCGAGACGAATCGAATGACATATTTTTCGACCCGGTTTGGAGCGGGCTCTCGACTAAACTATATCCAAATTTTTTTGTCCGCAATAACTTTTTAGTACAAAAATTTTTTTGTCCGCAAAACTCTTTTTATCCGCTTTTTGTCCGTAAAAATCTTTTGTCCGCAAAAACGTTTTAGTCCGCAAAAAATTTTTTTGTCCGAAAAATGTTTTAGTCCACAAAAAATTTTTTGTCCGCAAAAATCTTTTATCCGCAAAAAATTTATTGTCCGAAAAACGTTTTAGTCCGCAAAAAATTTTTTGTCCGTTAAACGTTTTAGTCCGCAAAAAATTTTTTGTCTGTTAAACGTTTTAGTCCGCAAAAAATTTTTTTGTCCGCAAAAAATTTATTTGTTTTAAGTTTTTACAATTGTTCCCCTTTGTTAATTGTTCGCCTTTATTTGTTCACATTTTTTATTTTGTGTTTTATTTCACATACGCGTTATTTTAATTCGCGTTTTTATTTTCTCAATTCATTTTTTTGTGATTTAATTTTTTTAAATTTACTTTTTAATAATTTTTTCTTTTACAGATTATAAAAATATTTTAATTATTAAATTATATTCTTTATCTACCTTCCCAAATGCCCTCGAGACAATTTAGAAAGAGAAAAGAACGAAAGGAGCGGCACCAAAATTTAGGAGGACATATACAAAACGGTCCTCCTCAGGACCAGGGGGAAACCCCGGTTATTTCTGTCCACCCAAACGAAGTTCCGCCTTCTGAAGTTCCTAATCTTTCCCAAAATGACTCCACCCTCCCCAACGAAGGTCCTTCATACTTTACCTTTGATAATTTTTCCCTTATTGATCAATCCGCTTCCAATCAAATTTCTGACCCACCTCCTACCCCTAACACGCCTTTAACCCCCTTTTCTTTGACTTCTGAAGCTGCTGTGCCAAGAAAATACAGAAAAATTAGTGAATCCTCATTTGATACAGAAAGCTTGATTTCCACTATTGATTCTGTTTCTATTTGTTCATCCCGTCCTTCATCACCTTCTATTTCTATTAAAAATAAAGGTGGTCGCCCAAAGAAGAAAACCCGAAAAGGTAGTGGCCGTAAACCTAAAACTATTCCGCAAACAAATCCCTCAGTTCCTATTATTGATTTTTTCAACCTTCTTTTACTTCACTTTGTTACCCGAAAAACCGATGACCCAAACGCAATTTGTAACCGAACCGACATGCCACTCCACCATGACAATCTTGAAAACAATCCACTTCATATTGAAATACTCTGGAATAATTTAACAGAGTGGCTTGAAGGCCAAGATATTTTTGCTTTTATTTCCTTTCTTTCCCGAAATGTAAACACCAACACAGTTGTAGTTGATCCGCGTACCACTCTTCCTTTTGATATGAATTATGCCCATAACCTTCCCGATGAAGACTTTTTTGCCCGGTGTTATGGTTTAGTCCAAGGCCAAGTTCCTCAAATCATATTATTTCCTCTTAATTTCCCCAACCACTGGACTTTGGTCGTTTGGGATGCGACTGAAAATACTGCTTTCTACATCGATTCTATGTGCAAGCATCTCCCTTCTCGTATTCATACCGATGAAAGAGCTCCAATTGTTAAATCTTATATTACACGCATAACCAATATTCCTTTACATGATATTAATATTGTCGATTATCCCCTTTCTCTTTATACACACCAACAAGATGGCTTTAGCTGTGGCTATTTTACCTGTTTGTATGCTGAATCTTGGCTCTTTAATAACCGTTATATGTTATTTGAACCTTTTAATATTAACACCGAAAAAAAGAGAATTCTTTGGCACCTTAACAATCTTCTTACCGGCGATAATGTAGTATACCATCCTCGCTACCTAAATGTCAATCCACATATATTTCCTGATAACCCAACGTCACAACCCATACAAAATATTGAACACGTAGTTCTTCATGACTCACCATTTCATCCTACACAGAATATTGTAAATGAAATTCCTGATGAAGGTGTGGTAGTAAACACCGGCCCTATTATTTTCCTGGAACCCGACCCTCCATCAAAAAACTTGCGCCGGTCAGAACGCATTAAAACAAAACAGAATGCTACACCAACCCCCACTATCTCGACAGTTTCACCTATTGTCCCTTCATTTTCTTCATCCACCCCATTTGTCGATCGCTGTTATAAAAGACATAAAAGACTTTCCCTGTGCTGATGCTCGTGCAAGACATACAGCAGTCTATTATGACTCTGGCAATTTAGGTGATGCCATTTGCGATTATTGTGGTGCATTATTATTAAAATCTGAAGTCCATAAATCCCATAAATATACACATAAGCGTATTGCTTCATCCTTTTGTTGTAAACTTGGCAAAGTTACTCTCCCTTCATATACCCCTCATCCCAAGTACTTGGTAGATTTGTTAAATGGAAAGTCGAAAGAATCCAAAGAATTTCGCAAAAACCAAAATATTTATAATACCCTCCTGGCATTTGCATCAATTTCCGCAGGCCATGAAGACTCTTCCCTACATGGAGCAACATGTTTTATGTTAAACGGAGAATTTTCCCGTATGCTTAGTTCAATGTTCTCTGGACATTTAACTCCTTCCTTCTCCCAACTTTACATTCTAGACGCAAATGAGGCCCTTAACTTACGCACTCAAAATTCTAAATATGGTGGGGATCGTGTTGACCCATCAACGCTAAAGAAATTGGATCAAATGCTTAGAGATAACCACCCATTTGCTAAGGTATATAAAAATTTCCATACTTTATATCAAGAAACTCTCAAAAGAGATGGCCCCGATTCTGTAAAACATTTTCGTTTAACTCTCATCGAAGAACGAGAGGCTCCTGTCATTATTAGAGATCCTACTGCTCATCCTCGACAAGTAAATTTACCCGACGAAAGAGCAATGTTCTCTATTTGCACTGAATCCGATGAACCCCCAATTAAAGGTATCTATATTACCGATCTTCAAGGCTCATTATTTGAATTTCCTTATTACCATCCCCATGTAGACTCAGCTACTTATCCTTTACTTTTTCCTAATGGAGATGATGGATACCATGTTAACTATAAATTTAATACTGTTAAAAAAAGTTCTAATAATAACGATAATAACTTATCTGATAATTCCTGCTCGGATGACGAACTTGACGATGACACACACAAACCTACCCTTTCCTATCGTGACTACATTCGTTATCGTTTTGCTATTCGCAAAGATGAGCCACTGCACAACATTTGGAGTGCAGGTGGTGGCCTTAGTCAAAAGTTCGCCCTTGACTACAACGCCAGAATTGACGCACAGGTAGCAAGTTTCCTTCGAACAGAAGCCCTTGATATGAAGAAGACCCACAAAAAAAATATCCTCCACCATATTGCCCGAGGTGCTAATGCCAAATCTATTGAAGATATCGGAAGCTTAGTAATGTTCCGAAAATATCACCCTGGAACCCGTCCTTACTTCCAGAATATGTTTTACAATGCTACCACCATTATGGCTCGCACACGTAAACCAGGTTGTGCTGCGTTTATGCTAACCTTTACTTTTAATCCCTATTGGCCCGAAATAAAGCGAAATTTCCTGCGTCCAGACCAGAAACTGGTAGACCGTTTCGATATAATTTGTCGAGTTTACGAAGATAAAAAACGTCATCTCACCCATCTTATAAACAAAAAAAATATTCTTGGCAAAATCCTTGGCTCAGCCCAAAGCCGTGAATTCCAAAAGAGAATTGGAGGCCCCCATCTTCATAGTTTATTGCACCGACACCGAAGCAACCCCTGATAATATCGATGGTTTAATCTGGGCCTATATTCCAAAAGAGCCACCAAAGTCGGATAAATCTGACTGGGCTAAATTTATTAGGAAAGTTCGCCAATTACTTCCCAAATTCCAAATTCATGACTGTGGTGCTCACTGCAGAGGCAGTAATGGCCGTTGTAAGAAAGGTTTCCCAAAACCTTATTGCACTAAAACCAAACTCCACGCTAATACGCCCGCAGATTATTATCGCCCAAGTCCCGAAGATGGTGGTGAAGTTTTAGAAAATGAACGCGGACAAGCAACCTTTAAATACACCAACTCTCAAGTTGTCCCTTATAACCCTTTAATCCTCGTAATGTTCGAATGCCATCACAATTTGGAATATTGTTACGGCCAGTCCGACAACCTCAAATATGCCCTTAAATATCCCTTTAAAGGTGCCATGTTTTCTTATGTAAAGACAGCTGCCGGCAAAATTAATGTCGACGAACCTGCCCAATACGCTAAAATGATTTACAGGAGTCCTACTGAGGCTTATTCACGTATTGAAGGGCTTAAGTACGCTGAACTTTCCCACGCTGTTATTCCACTTAGCATACACATGCCCGACGATCCTCCTGTTATCACGACTCCAGCAAACCGCAAACAAAAAATTGCTGCTATTACCCGAGGCAAAGATCCCGAGACCCAGTTAACTGCTTACTGGAAACTTTGGGCCAATGATAATGCTAACCCTTCAATTAAAAATATTTTATTTGAACACCTTCCAGAAACCCATGCCTTTCATACAGATGTGCAACAGTGGTTACCCCGAAAAAGGAAAACTGAAAAAGGAAATCCCGTTATCGGTCGTATCTACCCGGTTTTCCCAAGAGAACAAGAGTTGTTTGCCCTTTATGTCCTTACAAAACACTTCCCTGGTGATCCCGACCACCTTCTTACCGTCAGTGGTGTTAAATATACATCATTTGCCGAAGCTGCTAGGCAGCATGGACTTTTCGATGACAACTCTGTCTGGGAACGCACTCTCAAAGAAGGTTCTCAATCACTTAACCCCTCTCAGATGAGACAGTTATTCGTAAATATTCTTTCATTCGGCTCAACCTCATCCTGCCTTATTGATGCATTACACCTTTGGAATATGTTTACAGAACATATGTATGACCGTCGTTGCACTGACGCTCAACGCCCCATTCGTATTGACAGAGCTCTTGCCATAATTGAAAGATATTTACTCTCTAATGGTAAAACTATGTCCCATTATAATCTTCCAAATCCTACCAATTCCCTCACTGATGACCCTGATGCAGCAATTGACAACTTCTTTTTCCCCCAACATTTGAACGATGACGATACAGACGCAACAGTCGACACTTCTTCATTTGACAGTGCCCAATTAAACCCTGAACAACAAAACTTTTTTGACCTCATTATTAATTCTGTAACAGATGATAATTCCACCCAAAAACACTTTTTCTTATCCGGTGATGGCGGCACAGGCAAAACATTTTTATTAAATTTCCTCCTTTACCACTTGCGAAGAAACGGCAAAAAGGTTCTTCCTACTGCATCTACCGGCATTGCTGCCACCAAATTTTATGCCGGTGGCATGACCTTACATTCCGCCTTCCGTTTTGGTATTGACCACGAACCTGGCCGCCTTCCCAGCGTTCCATTCGAAAGTTTTTTCGGACGCCGAATTATTGAGAGCAGTGTTGTAATTATTGATGAAATTACAATGCTCGATAGGACCTTATTCGAAAATGTCGACGCCCTTTGCCGTAAAATGATTTCCCGACAAGAAAATTCCCTTTGGTGGAAAGGTTGTCATCATTAGCGGTGATTGGAAGCAATCACTCCCTGTTGTAACCGACACATACGCCCCACAAGCCGCGGTGGCTGCTTCTGTCCAAAGTTCAACCCTTTATAATAAATTCCACAAGACCCGTCTAATGCAAAATATGCGCCTCATCCCTTCCGAGATCAGATTCAAAGAATGGCTATATAACCTTGGAACTGACACTTCTGGTAATAAAATCGCTATCCCTAAATCCATGATTGTAGAAACTCGTGAAGAGTTAATTTCCTTCGTATTCGACCAAGGCTTTAATATCCCAAGCAACCAACTCCTCACCAGACTAATGCTCGCACCTACCAATAGATTAGTCGATTTGAATAATGACCTCATTCTTTCCTCTTTTAATAGTGAAGCCATGGACTATTATTCACTTGATAAATGTCTTACTGAAAACCCATTAGATCCTTATGCTGCCCAACAAGACGTATCTTATCTAAATAATGAAACACCAAAAGGATTTCCAGCCCATCATTTACACCTCAAAGTAGGTGCAATTATTGTTCTACTAAGAAACCTTAACACAAACAAAGGTTTGTGTAACGGCACCCGGCTTATTGTTAAAAGACTTACCACTAATTTAATAGAAGCCGAGACAATTAGTTTATCTTCAACCCAAGGAGTAATTGTTGGTATTTCCCGTGCCCTCCACACTTACAAAGATGAACGCCCCGATGGAATTAGCTTTGAACGCTTCCAATTTCCCGTTCGAATAGCCTTTACTATGACTATTACGAAAGCCCAAGGCCAAACCTGTGAGCGACTTGGAGCCGATTTGTCCGAAGAACCTTTTGCTCATGGCCAACTCTACACCCTCCTGTCCCGCTGTACTAATAGTTCAAATATTCGTATCTTTGCCCCAGAAAAAGAAACAGATTCAGATGGAAATGTCCTTATCAAAAACGTTGTTACCCCCGGAATCCAATTTGATTAAATCAGTCAGTCACTAAACATAAAGCTAACTTTTATTTAAAAAATCACTCTATCCGCGGTTTTGCTCTCAAACCGCTCACCAGGCTTTATGATGGTGGGTGTTGTCATGGTTGGCAGCAATTAAGGGATTAAATTGTCAATAAAATATTTAACTTTAATTTTTGTTAGAATTTTGATTTTGTATTTTTCCAAAATTTTAGTTTATATAAACTATTTTTTCTAAAAATAGGGCAACCAGTAAATTGCTGCGGCCATGACGGGGAGTATAAATCGTTTTGACTGACTGTAAAAGGATAGAGGATAGACCGGTGAAGACAGGATCGCCTTATGCAGGTGCGTTCAGTGGACGCACAGGATCCTACATTTGGCCGTCTTGTAGCTCCCATTAAATTTTCCACCACCGGTCTATTTATGCCTTTCACATCACTTCCTTTCACATTTTCCAATAAAGTTATTTACACCCACTACCCTTTCAATTACCGATTCCCACCCAATCTAAGCTTCCCACTCATTTTTCCTATTAATATGCGATGTGCTTCAGAATTGAAGGTACCGCTCTCCAATTTTATCTACCCTTCCTTCCTTCCCACCCTTCCCTGGGGTACAGGGTTTGCCCGGTTACCTCCATGCACCTCCACGCGGTGTACCCTGGATATTT